ATCACATGATTATATATATCTTTGTCAGCAATATGGCCAATAAGAAAAAAGTCATAAAATGGTTCAGATTTTGTTTGGTATGTTTTGTATAAATTAATCGTTTCCATAAATTTTCTGTTTCTTTAATTTTTATTTGATCAACTGAACTTGTTATTTTTTAAATGGGGGCCTTTGCCCATATTGTAAAATAGTAAATTATAAATCGCGGGAAACGAACATATAAATCGGAAATGATTTACATGTATCACGAAGTGAAAATTTGGAAGCGATTATCACGGAATAACTCAACAAGAAATAAACCAGTATAATTTAATAAATGTTACACCAATTAATAAGGCGCATTGACCAAATAAATAGCTCTCGGAAAATAACCCAAATATTGGAGATATAAATATTCCAACATTCTAAAGTGTAATGGATTACAAGGTCTCAGAATAATATTTAAATGAAAGAATTTTACATGACTCACAATTACTTGAAAATAATTCTAGATGGAAGGTTTAAATAATGTTTAAGGAATATATTAATTAGTATAAATTAGGATTTCAACGAAGTCAGAGAACTAGATGATAGAACCTTTAACATGTATTAATACGTTGTAAATTTCTCTTTCATGTAATAATCAGTTAATCAGTTAATTTGTTCATAACTATTATCTTGTAATAACAATACTATCTTAACAATAAAATACAAACATAAATATCTCTTAAAATAAATCTCTTGCCAGTGGAATAATCCACCCGCTTCCAAAACCACATAAACCTTTCACTCTAACTCAACTATTAATTAATTACTATCTTACCAGGGAGACGCCTTTGATAAGTATAGTTGTGTGTGTGTATTTTCTTTTAATTTTATTTCTTTATTTTTATTTAGATTAGGCCAATGCCTAAATAGTGGAAATCCTAGCTAGGTGCAGTCAGTTAAGAAACTGAGCCATAAAATAATAAATAAGTGTATAAAGTATCATGGCAGATACTTGAGATATTATTGAGATGTGCCAGCTCAGGCAGATAACAAAGGACTGCTGAGAAAACGTTACTGGAAGGGAAGAAAGGAAACTTGCCACAGGTAAAAAAATGAAAAATCGGCAATACTCCCGATTTTTGTCAAATTGATCAATCGTAAACAATAAATTATAGAATCTTGCAATTTTTAGAATTGATAAAAATCGGGGATTTTCTGAATTGTCACTATTTTTAATAAGCTAATTAGTTAAAATTCGGGATTACCGATTGTCAACCGATTATTAACATTGCTAAAAATCGGGTGAATAATTGTTTTTTTTTTTGATTTGTTATCGAATTATTCTAATTGGTTACTGAATACCTTATCATTATTATTGATGCAAGTTATAATAAACAATTAAAGTAACTTACGGAGAAATAAGTTATATAGTATAATGGATAAGAAGCGAACAATGAACACTGAGGTAAGTGGTTCAATTCCCAACGTAAAAAAAAAAACTGTCTGAGTCTTAAAATAAACAAATGGATGAGTTTCAAAATTTAGCAAATTTAACACTTCTTCATAAATCAGTGAATAATCATTCAGCGATTGGTAAAAGATCAGTTAAAGTTCAGGGTGTCTGGTATGATCCATTTTTTTGTCTGATAGTTTACTGATTTTTAGATACCGAGTTCCTACTGATTGTTGCCAATGTGCGCCAAAATTCAATAACAATCAGATATGAGAAAATCATCACTATTCTTAAAATAGGTAAAAATCGGCTAAAAATCAGGTACCTGATTTTTCACCGATTTTATTCCGAATTGTCCTTTTTTTACCTGTGTGCCCTGTATATAAGTAAATAGCTTGAGTGCTATTATTGAGAGTAAGTAATCAAAGAATTACATAATTGGATACTGCTGTAAAACGAGATAAATAGTATTTTAACCAAATCAATAGGTTTGTGTGAGATGCAGATTTTGATCTCACAATGTCTTCTGCTTGAGCTTTACCTCATTTTTCACCACTTCCTCAACTTGTTTCTGTTCTATTTTTACTCTTTCTTCTAGCTCTTCTAAATCTTTAATTTGTTCAATCTTGCTTCCTATAATATCTTTAAGAATTATATCCTTAGCAGGCTTGCCTCAAATATTACCTCCTTCTATTTGAGAAAAAATATGAGTTCTTTGATTTCATAGTTTCCAATCTTTTTTCAATTCAGTGGCTAACTCAGTGTCTTCAAAATAATCTATAATAATTCTCTCAACAATTTTTTCTAAGTTTTCTTTGCCTTCCCATTTATAGTCATACATAAGACTATGTTGAAAACAAATATTCATAAACTGATTTCTTAATGGTTTGCTAATCAATTTCCTTAAATCTTGTTCAATATTCTTACTACAATGAGGAAATCTATTTTTCATATCTACCAATATTTGGTGAATTTGGTCAATTGCTTCTTGCTTAAATTCAGCTTCTTCTTGTTCACTTACTTCTCCTAGATTTTTTAATTCAGTAATTTCTTGTTCTTTATTGGATAATTGCTTTTTCAATGTTTCAATTTCATTGATTAGTTCTTTATTTGCTTGTTGTTGTTCTTTTAGGATGTTTGTCATGATTTTCTTGATTGTTCCTTTTTTTATTTATTCTTTTAATATACTTATATCCTTAGGGTATGTTAAGTATATAATTATTTTAGTACTTTTTTACTTTAAATGTGGAAAAAAGCTAACAATATTTGTCAAAAGATTAAACTTATTAAACTTAATGACAGTAAGAAGTCATAGAGGTGATTTTATTCTAAATATTTTATTCATTGCCAGTATAGATTGGTCTTGGGCAAGTAATATCTTTGAATTCATCTCTAACAAATGGACGAATATTCTGGTAAAGATATTCTTGCCTTTTGTAATCCAAAGGAGGTGGTGTCAATACTAAAATAGATAAAGCTTTAATTTCTTCAAAAATATCTGTTTTCCTAGTTTTTAATAAATTGAATTCAATAAAAGTTCCATTAGCCACTTCCTGAGTTTTGACTACACCAAGATTAGATGCTTCAAAAAGAAAATGTTGATACTTTTGTAAACCATTTAGTTTCTTAAAATAAATTCCCAAAATATCTTTAACATTTATTATTACTTTTCATATATACACTTATCCCTATATATATTATTTTATGTTCACTTTGTAGTCTTATGTGATTTTAAGATGTATATATTCTCAATAAAATTAACTAGGCATGAATAGATAAAGGAATCATTATCCATAAAAGAAATTATTTCATCAAAGATTGATTGGCTAGTCAAAAAGCTTGGTCTAAATTAACATTAAAGTTTATTAATATAAGAACAAGTTAACAAAAAATTATATCAATAAGTAGGAGAAAGTTCAATAAAAAAATTAATTTATCAAGAAACTTTTTCTAGAGTGAAATAAATTGCAACATTAGAAAGAATCTATTGTTTTATACATCTGAAAATAATAATATAAATTAGCATAATGTATTAAGAAAATGAAGATCATGCTCTTTTTTCATAAGTTTCCCCTCTTCTACCCCTCATGGCCAATTAATATCATCAGAATGGTCCATAAATAGTGGATATTTATCTACATTATGCCTCCCTGCCCAATCAAAGTCAATCAAAGATATTCTTCTTGAATCATGACATTATTTGGTCTTAAATCACCAAAAACTATGTCATTTTCATGCAACATCAGGAAACTTTTCCCGCCATAATATTACATCCGTAAGTTTTAATATGAAATGTCGTAATATTTCACATAAAAAGGATGTAATATTTACACTGAATGTAATAATTGCGTAATTTTTGTCCAATTTTTGCATAATATTACACTATTTATGTAAGTTTATGGCGGGCCCCATAATATTACGTAAATTTATGTCAGAAAAAATTTCCTGATGAATATATCAATTAGATGTTTGATATAGCCCTTTATATTTGTTTTCTCTTCAGTAGTGAGGTCTTTTATTATATTTAAAGGACAACCTATATAAATCAGATTAGTGTTAGGCATTTCAAATTACTTGTTGAAATTTTGAATTGAGATACTTACCACCTACTGCTTCCATAATGATTATTTTCCATCCAAATATAACATTATCTTGAACTTCTAGCAAATTTGGTGATCCATTTTCTCTAGCACATAAGTTATGTGCATCTCCATTTATAACTTTTGACCCAAATATATATCCATCATTCTGTGGACTACCATTAATCCCTTTCTGGAAAGGCTGTCCAAAAAGCCAAGAGTAAAACTCTGTTGTCTACATTTCTCATCTGTGTAAAATTCTGACATGACCTTCACAAAAGAAAGAACTTCTTTACATATTTCCATATCCACTTCAATGGTTGAACAATCTCTGAGAAATTGTGAGAAAACTTCATGGTATAAAACAACAGGTTGTCCAATATAATCTAAATCTGGTGGGCAATGACTAGTGTTTGTATTCACAGATACCATAAGGAGTCACACAGGGTTAAACACTATTAAAATCAAGTGTTTTTAAGGGATTTTTTGTTGATTTATTAATGTGTAACCCCCTTAATGGTATTCATGGTATCCATGAATACAAACCCTAGCAATGACATTGTATATTGGCATTCCTTTGATGTTTTGGGAATACTCTATGTACAGCAGCAACAGAAGGAGAATCAACCAAATGAATGTGTTCAAAAGTAAATAATTGTTTCTTCCTCATTGTGACAACATCTCCAACCCACTCACACTTGACTCCAGTAGTAACTGCAATAGAATGATAGAGTAACAAAAATAACCAATGAAGTTTTGTTTGAATTTTTATAAATGTAAAATATTTGACATAAAATTTGACCTTACCTGTCTCTTCAATTGATCCTTCATATATAAAAGATGGACAAATTAATTCAGGATAAATGTGCAGAATATTTATTTAAAACAAAATAATTGTAAATAAATAAATGAAATGGAAAATAATTTTTTGTATATTGGTGATTCGCCTATGAATTAGTGAATGATTGACATTTTTTATAATAATTAGAATATTTATCTGCCTTCAATGTATAACCCAACATTTACATTCGAGATCTTTACCTTCAATGCCTTTTAATCTTCTTCTTAGTCACTTCATCTCCAGCTCCAACTCCTCCGCCTTCTTCTTCCAACTCTAAAGAGCATGATTGTTTGTGCAGAAGATAATTATATATAAAAATTATTTTATGTTGAATTAGTGTTTACAATATTGAATACTAAAATAATATTTTATTGAAATAAATACCATATCATTTTCTTTATTTTCATGTTGTTTTTGGTGTTGTTGTTGTTGCTCAACATTTTTTTCTTTAATTCTCCAATTATCACCTTCCAAATGGCTTAATTTATTCAACTTTAAATGATTATCTCTATATCTAGATGAAGTCCTCCCATTATCATCTGAAAAACATTCTTGTAACCTTAAATCTTCATTAGCACTATTACTATTACTACTATTAGTACTTAGCATATGATCTTCTCCTCTTTTTTTCTTCTTCTAATCGAATCAATACTAAGATCAGAGTATAATTCACTAATAAAAAAAAAGTTATAAAAAACTAGAGTGATGATGAGTGGCAGGCAATAACCACCACCACCATCCTTAAAACACTTACCTCTTCTTTGCACCATACTTATTATCATTGCTTCTTTTATTGTTGTTGTGTTGTTGTGGCATGTTTATTATATATAAAAAGAAAAAAAGAAGAGTAGTTTGTTATTTGATTGATGCGTACACACTAATTATTTATCCTATTGGTTTTTTTGGTAGGACAGATGTGAATTGATTTTTTTTTTCTTTCTTGGAAAAACAATTTATTTTTTGACAGAGTCCAAGGTGACAAAACGTGAGTGTTGTTGTTTGGTTTGGTTTGGTCTCCTAAAGAAAAGGTATTAATAACTAACAGAGGTACTATTTTTTACTTGTATTGATATAGTGTGGTATCTTTTTTGGTTTATAAATATTTTAATTGGAAAACAAAACATGGAGCAGATCCTGCTGGGTAATTACAGGATTTTCATTGATAATATTTTGTTTTTCATGATCATATTATAAATATTATAATTACAAGATGTCAAGGCAGCATATTAGTAACAACCAAAAAGCTAAGTCATGTCTATTTTTTATCTATATAAATAGAGTAGAGTAGCAAGCAACAGGTTAATAATCACCACCACCTTTTTAATATACAAAAAAAAATAACAACAAATATTATTTAATTCTAAGCAAATTTTTATTATTTTTATATGGGGTCAGTTCTATATATCACTCAAGATAGAAATGGGATATTATAAAACTGTTACAAATGACTAAATTTTGAACCCTGAAATACTTGGTAATACCAATATTCACTTTGTCTGGTTTTGTTGCAGTATGCCCCATATTTCTATATATTTATCTGATAATTTACTTTTTTGGAGAGTAAAAATTGCAGACTATGGCGTGTCTTTAAATGAGCTGCACCATAATAATGATTGCACATCGTTTGACTAATAAGATTTGTTGACAAAGTTTAAAGGAATAAATGAAACGATAATAAGAGCACATACTTTTGTAATGTAATTAGTTCATGAAAAAAAAAGAGATATCATTCTCGTTTTTAAATACAATTGCAGTATAATTAACACCTCTAGTTTATGGGCACAGGGAGCCTTTTTATTTTTATTATAATAAAAATAAATTTTATTATTATGTATTGAGCAAAGACTGCTACAATTGACCATTTTTAAAAACACTATTCAAGCATGGGATGACATCTCACCTTTTTATGGACTAGTACTAATACTAATTACATTTCAAAAAAATTTTGATTTACATTATTTTGATTTAGAGTTTTTTTTTGAAACCGGTTTTTATCAAACGAAATTTTTTTTTAATATAGTTACACAACATAAGATCGATGAATGTAATTCTTTGATCATTCAATTGGTTCGATTTATTCTGCAAAGATTACTTGCTGCCGAAATTATAGGCATAATATTAATAATATATTAATAGTTACCTATTTAAATTCCTTTTTAATTCTTACATTTTACTTTATTAAAAAAATGTCTTTACCTTCTGAAGTTGAAATTAAATCACTTAAAGAAAAATATACTGCTGCAGGACAAGATCATCTTTTTACTTTTTATGATGAACTTGAACCTGATCAAAAAATTTCATTATACAATCAACTTTCTAAACTTGATGTCGACCGTGTGAACAAAATTTTTAAAAAGTCAATTTCCGTTTCAGAAAATACTTTGGAACAACAAAATTTGGAACCTTTACCTGATAATGTATTTGATTCGACTATAGATTCTGACGAGGTTAAAGTGAAGGAATGGAGGGAAGTGGGGTTAAAAAATATAGCTCAAAATCGAGTTGCAGTGATTTTAATGGCTGGTGGTCAAGGAACTAGGCTAGGGTCTACAGCACCAAAAGGATGTTACGATATTCACTTACCTTCAAGCAAATCATTATTTCAACTTCAAGCAGAACGTATTTTAAGATTGCAAAAACTTGCACAAGAAACAGTAAGTGTTCCTGATTCAGTATTTATTCCATGGTATGTGATGACGAGTGGCCCAACAAGATTATCAACAGAAGCTTTTTTTAAAGATCATAATTACTTTGGATTGAAAAAAGAAAATGTAATCTTTTTTGAACAAGGTAATGATAATTTATTATTATAAAATTAATTTATATATATATCTATTTTTAGATTATAATATTTATTTATTTATTAATAATTTAGGAACTCTTCCTGCATTTACTAATGACGGTAAAATATTTTTGGAAACCAAATCCAAAGTAAGTATTTATATTATATATAATGTTTTTAATAATTAATAATAATTTATATATTACGTGGAAATTTTAATAATTAATTTTATTCCAATTAATTAATTAATTAATTAATCAATCAGATTGCTATTGCACCTGATGGAAATGGTGGTATATATGCTGCTTTAAGAAATGAAAAGGTTCTTGATTCATTAAAATCCCGTAATATTAAATACGCACATGCATATTGTGTTGATAATTGTCTAGTCCGTGTTGCTGATCCTGTATTCATTGGTTATTGCATTTCAAATAATGCTGATTGCGGAGCAAAATGTGTTCGTAAATCTTCACCAGAAGAACCTGTTGGTGTTATTGCACTTCGTAATAAAAAATTCAATGTGATAGAATATAGTGAAATTGATTCAGCAGTTGCCGCCAAAACCAAACCAGATGGAAAACTTTTATATGGTGCAGCTAATATAGCAAATCATTTTTACACAGTGGACTTTCTTGATAAAGTAGAATCTTTTGAGGATGGGCTTGAATATCATATAGCTAAAAAGAAAATTAAGCATGTTGATCTTAAGACTGGGGATACCGTGTCACCATCCAAACCAAATGGAATGAAACTTGAGTTGTTTGTTTTTGATGTTTTTCCTTTTACAGAACGTATGGCTGTTTTAGAGGTTGACAGAAAAGAAGAATTCTCGCCTCTTAAAAATGCACCAGGTACTGGCGCTGATGATCCAGATACTAGTAGAAGAGACATTATCAATCAACATGTGAGATTTGTTGAAAATGCTGGTGGTAAAGTAATCAAAGGTGACGCAGATTCGTCATTTACTTTTGAAATTTCGCCATTAGTTTCTTATGCTGGTGAAGGTTTAGACTCATTAAAAGGAAAAACAATCAAGACACCAGTTACTATTGAAAAACCAGAAGATTTGAATAAATTTTAATATAATTTTAGAAGTAATTTAAATATTATTTTTTTTTTTTTAGTGGAAACACTAGTTTTTTAAATTATTAAATTAAATAAATGTTAAATTAAGTAAATTTTATAATTATTAAAGTTAATTATTAACCTCTTTTTTAAGAATACCATATTATCCATTTTTCAACGCATTAATAATGAATGATTTTTTATAAATAGTTGTAATCTCTTTGTTTTTTAAAATCTTTCTCTAAAATTTTAATTTCTCTTGATAATGAGTAGGGCAAGCGCATCTACATTTCTAAAGAATACTTGATCAATTGATAGTAGGTTGATTAGAATTTTTTTTCTTTTTCAACACATTTATAGAATCTCTAAATTTAATAGGTTATAAATTTCAAAGAAAACCTAAAAGACAAGTGCACAACACCCTTTATCTATATTAATAATATATTATTAATTAATATGGAAATAATTATAAAAAATTTCTTGTAAATTTTATTTTGTATGTCTTTTTATCATCGCCAAGTTCAAAGTGTTTACATCTTTTAAGTGCTATTTGATGCTTATTCTTTAAAATTTTCTATTTGAACAAATATCATTTTTTCAAAATGCAAAACAATCAACACGATGAAATTAATAGTCATAGTCATAGTCATTAGTTATAGCTACCTTACAACTCTGACATTCTAAACGAAGTACAATCTTCCTTGTTGTTTTGACTAAAAATTTCCAAAAAAAAAAAAAAATAATAATACAAATTATAAACTTCTTCCCACTATTCACTTCGCTTTTCTCTTCGTAATTAAATTGCTTCCTTACCATTACTCACTCATACTTTCACCTTTTTACCCTCATAACCAGTTTGTTTACCATAACGCCCGACTTTTACCTAAAATAAAAATTTTTTGTGGAATAGCTATAATTGATATAATTGACAATTAAATAACATATTCTTATACCTTGAGCATACAAAGAATCTTTTCCTTTTCTGTATTGAGAAGCTTTATGATGCGTATGCTTTCGAAAATTCTAATTTTTGAAACATAGAAAACGAATAATGAATTAATCCAATTTAATCTAGATTTGGTAGTGCAAAAATCGAAATTATTTTTTTAAAACGCGAACGATAAAAATTATTAATTATTATATTAATATTTTTATTTTTTTAAAATCTATAAACTATCCTCTCCCTTTTTTTACAAAATTTTTACTTATATATATATATACATGCAAAAATATTAAATTATAAAAATACTCTAATTAATTAATTAATAATTATTATTATATAAATTCAATAATATTGTATTTTTCATCGTCATCTAATAACAATTTCTTTCTATTTCTATTATTATTATTATTATTATCATTATTTATGTCTCCCAATTCAAGTTCTTTTGTTGATTTAGTTGTAATAGTTAAAAATAATTTGTCGCCTGTTGTATCACCTGGTAATATTACTACTGTGATATCATTATTATTATCTACACTATTATTATTATTATTATCAATGTTGTTGATTGGAAAACTTTCGGTAGTATTACTTCTAAAAGATGATCCCGACTTCAAAGCATCTGGAGCAACATAATAACAAGGTAGAAATAATGTTGCTCTTTTGGTTGTACCAAATAAAAGAAATATTATTATTCCTCTATTTTTTTTTTTTTTTAAAAAACAAAAACTTGATTAATCACAATTTTTTTATAAAAAAATAAAAAAAGAAGTTAAAAGTCACGACACGTACAATGTAGAATTAAATAAAGTGCTACTTGAATGTAGTAGTGTATCACCCTCATCGTATTTGGTTACTTTTTTTTCGAGGAGCTTCATTATAGAACCAACTATTAATAATAGTGTATAAATGGTTGTGAAGCAGTAGACACGTGTTGCGTGTCCTAGTTTTATTGCTGTCACGCGATTTTGGTTACTATTAAAGATTCTCCATTTTTTCCATAATATTATCCCAGAATGGACTAGTAATTATGATGGTGATGGTGACGACGGCGAAAAAGATAGCATTAATTTATGTATAATATAGAGTATTAGTTATTTCAATAATTTATCCGACAATTTTAATAACTTACATGTAACCACGGTACTGAAAATTAATAAAATAGTAGTTGGTATTAGATAACCATAAAATTGAAGATCATCAGAAGTAGAGGCACAAGTTAAAGAAGTAGGGACGCTTCCCCAATTCTCTTCACTGCTGGTACGAGCAATTGTGAACACGTTATAAAAAACTGAATAACTCCAAATTATGACTGAAAAATATAATGAACACTTTTTCTCTATCTCGATATTTCCTTTAGTCAGCGCATACCAAAGATAAAATAAAAGGGTAAATGAGAAAAATTGTAAAGAGATTAGGGAAAATAATGCCAATTTTTGTTGCAACACACATAAAACTATTGAATAATTGAGGATGTTGGTTATGTCGTTTCCGTATATTAGTACTGCAGGTAGTTTTATTGCTCCATTGAATAACGCTAATGCGTAAATTTGAAATAATGTCCATTTTGTAAAATATGGTTTTGATCTTAGTGCTGATACTATTAGTATCATCAAGAGAGATATGCTTAATAACTGTAATGTGATAAATGTGATTTTATCTGTTGAATATTCTGGCATGATAAATTAATTGTTGATAAATGAATGTGCATAAGTAAATGATAGATATTTTATTTTATTTATTTTGTTTCAAAAAATTTTTTAAAAAACAGAACAAGAATAATTTTAAAATTTTTAATTTTAAAAAACAAAAAAAACACGATTTTATATTTTGTTATTAGATGGTTGCACCAATTAAATGAATTTAATAAAATTAATAAAATTCCTATTTCTGGTTATTTAATTCGAATATTCGTCATCTATTATATAATAAATAAATATTTTAAAACAAAACGGATTTTGGGTTTATTTATAATAATAATTAATATACGAGCTTTATATATGTTACCAACTAAGGTTGCAATATTATGTTACCTAATTTCATTATAATCTTCATCCTTATTTATTATTTATTATTATTAATATCTATCTCGTCGCTTCCGATATATATGGTATACATAATATAAATAATACTACGCATTCGCAGAAAATATTCCAGAACATCTTAAAATGTAACATCTTGCTCGATAATAGACCAAATTCGAAAGTTTCAGATTTATTTTAAGAAATACGGAAATTGCGTCACAATTTATTATTTATATTAATGTTATTCTGATATTAAAAATCGTGTTGGAAAATCTAATAATAGTTTAATTAGTATCTATGAGTTAATGACAACCATCAATCCAATCATCTAAATCTTTGAACCAAACGATCGGTATTGTAAAACATTGGTGCCACATTGTCGAGTTTTTTTTCATTTTATTATTATTATTAATATTATTGTGTTAAATAACCGAAATTTCTCGAAAAAGAAACGGCTATTTCATTTGAATGACAATTACGATTTACTAATTATAGTCTTTTTTGAAAATATTGGTTTGAAAAAAAGGACCATTTAACAATTGGACTATCTATATATTTCAAATAAGGGTTAGAACATAAAATAAAATAAAATTGTCGCAATAAAAATTATGTCAATGCAATAATACTCCCCTAAAAAAAAGGTGTATAATCAGCAAAAATAATTGAATAGTAATATAAATAATCACTCTAAAATATCACATTGGACCGATTGTTATCATTATTAATTTTTTAGAAAAAGTTGAACTTGGAGTTATTTTAAGATATCATGCTTTAACACATCTTGAGAACTTAGAAACGTTGTTCCATTGGTTCCTCAAATATATACATATAAAATTTCATGATTATTTGTCGAATGTTCATGGAGAATTATTAATAAACGTAATAAAGAATTTTTTATGCAATGTGATTAATTATGCATGAATAAACCTTAAACGATAATTGCAGCTGAAATGTCTAACCAAAACTTGTTTTTGTTATTTTAATTAACAGATTGGCTGGTGCACTCAATCATTCTCAGTCACAGGTAACTCGTGCAATAAAAGCATTTAAGTCCAAGCTACTATTTCTCCCCCAAAAACACAAATGAATTAGTTTCTTATTTAATGTAGACAGCATGCCTCGAAGGGTTCAAGCTGAAAGGAAATATTGAATGAATGAATGAAATATTTATAATTTTTGATTCTTTTGATGTAAATTTAATAAAGATTTGTCGTAAAATATTATACAAATTGTGAATTAAAAATTTTACGTTTTCTATTAATATTAATTCTCCATGAAAATTTATATGTATATTTGAGGACTAATGGAACAACATTTTCTAAATTCTCAGGATGTGTCAAACCATGTTATCTTAAAATAGTTCTAAGCGCAACGACTTTTTCTAAAAAAAATTTTAATTTGTCTTTTAATCATCAGTCCAACGTGATATTTTGGAGTGTTATACAAATCCATTACTTAAACATTAAGGGCGAACCGTTTACTTGAAATTTTAATTTTCAATTCTTGGGGATGCTATAGAAATGCCGGTAATTGTCCTGTTTCTTGGCAAAGATTTTAATAATGCTTAGTATTAGCGTTAAAAAATCAAGTGATCCAAATATTTAATACAAACTCGCATTTGTACAATTCCGACCGGAAAAGTTGACGAACTTATCTTAGAAGCCTTCATCTTCAAATTGAATCACGCATTAAATAGGAAACTTAATGTAGTTTTCATCCATCAATAATCGAAAATTTATATACTTGTTTAAGGAATCATTATCTTCAATTGGAAAGTGTTCATGTTGTGCTGAGCAATCGAGTCATATTTATTCAATGATTACCAAATTAGAAATGTTTACCCTTATTAAATTAGTTTAAAAGTAATAAGTTAAAATATTGATGTCATGTCGGATAGACAAGGAAATCTTTCTTCTTTTTGTATTATATAATTTTATAATAATAATCTTTCATTCTGAGAACAAATAATATTAATATTTTCGGAATTAATTGTTCTTTCTATCTCAACCCCCGAATGATTGTTGGTAACAAGTCTAATTAGTTGAAGAAAAAATTCATTTACTATACGTAAATGATTAATGTATTCCTTTTTAACGAAATCCATACATATCATAAACCTCCTGATTTAAAATTTTAGTGTTTATTCGATTGAATACCAAGCTCCGAAACTTGCATATAGTTGCAAATCAGAAGTTTATAACTTGTCGTTCGTTTTCAAGATGTTGTACAAAGAGGATTTAAATGATCCTTTTGCTATAATTTTCTATATAAAGTTTGGTTGGAACCAACCAGCACATTATTACCTTTTAAATATCATTAACTTTTTTTTGATCACGATATCTGGTTGGTTAAAATTAATGATGGTTCTATTAATCAGATATATTTTATTATTATTACAGTAGTACCATCCTGATAACAGTTCTATTTATATAGGCTTCCGCAGTAAATGCCATTGGCAGAGCAACAAAACACCTGTTGATCTGACAAGATGAAATAAAGATAAATATTCTAATTAATAATGATTATTATCTTGTTGCAATGAAAGAGTTAACCGAGTTAATTGTAATCTTTGTGAAGGAAGCTACAAATAATGATCAAACTATTTGTGTTGTCGCAACTGTTGTAACAAAGTTGAAATTAAAATAGTAACGACAACAATAATAATGATTATGAAGTTATAATAATCACCGACTGTTTCAAAGCTTGATTTAATTTTCGCGGCAAAAAAAGAATTTTTTTTTTTTAATATAATTTATCCATAAAAATTTTTTTTGGGGCCGTAAGCTTATAAAGCTTGTGCCAATAAGCTGATTACTGATAGGCTCGATAAGCTAATAAGCCAATAAGCTTAAGCCAATGGAATCTATTGCTATTTGAATTTCATATAAGTTACGATGAGCATTACATTAAGAAAAAAGAGAAAAAAAAGGCTACACCGATTTTATTTAATACCACATATGGAATGATCATTTTGTATTGTGGCTGTTGCTTATTGATTTGGATATGTTATTTTTTTTGGAATTGGTAAAGAAAAATCAAAACTTGATTCTATTCTTTTTACTAATTCCATATTTTCATTTTGTATATCAACCTTTTAAATAAAAGGTAGGTTAATGTATATGTAATATATATATTTACTAATTAATTAATTAACTAATTAATTAATTAATTTACCTCGTCAAGATAATTTCCAAATAATATTGATCTTTCCGATATATGCTTACTTATATCTTTACTTGACGAATCCTCATCCATACTTGTTGTGTCTGTTATCATTTCTATTAAAATACCTATAAACATATAATTAAAATTATATTTATAAAATATTAAATTCAATAAAAGAAAAAAAAAATTTTCTAATGTTCAAATTAATATTCTTACTTGATGCTTCATTGAATTCAACTCCATCCATCAACGTTGACTCTTTTTTAGTTTGATCGTCTATTTCATTAGGTTGTGCTGGTTGATCATATATGCTTGATAATAAAACTTTACTTCTTTTAGAATCGGATATTAATCTTGCTAAATCAATAAGATTCATTCGAACAATTGGTGGTACTACTGTTCTACAGCATGCAACCAAATCTCTTGGTTCATCTGGCATCCTCTCTGATAACGCAAAAAGTAATTCATCCGGCATTACATAACTATATGTAACAATAAGTAAAATATTATTAATAATAATACTAATAATAATTAATAACAATAAATATAATATACACTAACCGGACACTTTCATCCTCTTCTCTAGCAATATGATCTCTCCATGCGTGCAATGCTTTGAATACTTCCATCTATATAAAAAATTTTATTTTATTTTGATTCGAAAAAACCATAATAAATTTTATTAATATAAATTGTTTTTTATATACCTGTTGAGTATCAAATGTAGTTTTCCATTTAGCGAGCAATCTTTTATAACCATTTGGTCCTTCGCCATTTTCATCGTATCCAAATTTTTCATAGGTCTTTAATGATGTTTCTGAAGATCTTCCCAATTCTACTCTTAATAAATTTAAAGTTTCGGGATCTGATTTATCAATTAAATTATTTCGCATTGTATCATAAATGAATAATAAATAATGTGTATCTGCACGAGCATATTCAAGCATCTCAACCGGAAGAGGCCTAAAATATCATTATAGATTGTTGGATGATCTTTTTTATAAATAAAGGAAATAGTAGTAATATTTTTTTTTATAAAAAAAAAGGTACCTTATACGCCAATCTGCTAATTGATATTGTTTATTAGAATCAACGTTACAATATAATTTAAGTAAATATGCCAATGAATGTTGAGGTAACCCTAGATTCAATTTAAATAATAAATAGATTTACATATAAATATATATGTAAAATCATTTCATTCTGATAGCACACATTAAAAGAAAAGTCTATTCAAAGCATTTAATACACGCACCTAATAAAACTGACGCATGATATGTATCAAATAAATTCACTATATATATTGCAAAATCTTTTTGTAACCATAATACATCAAGATCCGATCCATGGAAAATCTAAATATTTTTAAGAGAAAATATTATTTGTAAATTAATAATTACAATTATAATATAATATTATTGATTAATTAAAAAAAAGTTATATTGTATCCTTTCACCTTTACAATATCTGGATTTGTAAAACTCCTGTTTAAAATTTGTAATTCACTTCTCAAAGCCAAAGTATCCACTATAAAATCTTCATCTCTTGTACTAATTTGCATTAGACAAGTAAAACCTTGATATGAACGATATTCATGATGCTATATAATTTAAACCATATATTAAACCTATATACATAAACACAAATATAACTTAATTTATAGTTACTTCAAGATCCACGGCTATTTCTGTTGAATTTTCCAATTTCTCGCACATCGCTAATAAATCTTCTTTAGATTCGACCCAAATACGATTTGTGGTTTCGACAGGCTTAAAAGGTATTGGTGTACTCTTTTCAAACATGCGAGAAGGAAGTTTTAGATGTTTGATTTCATACTCATAAGGATGACGTCTAAAAATAAATATTTATATTATATTATAAGATTCACCATAAAATATAACACTCTTAATTATTAAATATTATTGATTTTACATCATTGTTATATCGTCATCTTCTTTATAAGTCACTAGTGGTACAGTGGCATTTGGTTTTTCGATAAGCTTGGGGATAAAAGGTGAAGCTGAATTATCTACTTTTTTGTTAAATTTTAATTGTGGTCGACTAATATTATTAACGTAAACAATACTGGAACCGGGTTTATCTCTTGACTAAAAAATATCCATATATGATTATAAAATTCAAAATTATCAATATTTGGATAATAATATAAATCAAAATCAAAATCACTCAGACAACCTACATTCATAACTTTTGCAACTACTGGCGTGGATTGAACAGATGGAGCAGCAATTTTTTTAGTTCGTCCTGTAAATTCATCTAGACAAGAGTTCTACATTAAATTAAATTTTAGCCAATTAAAATCAACCCAGAAAGAAAAGAAAATAACTTAAAATGAAAAGTTAAAGTTATTTATAATAATATATATAGCTAATATTTAATGTAGTCATAATATAATACTAACTGTTGCATCTATCAAAGAATCTGTTAAAGAGATTATGTCTTTATTCCAACTATCGAATTCATCTATTTCGGTAATTTCACCAACACCATCAAATCCTGCAAGATCTGCACTTTGAAGCAAGTGATTGATTCTGACCAGTACTTTGTCAGCGAGATTATTCAATCTACTGGAAATTCTTGGATCAATAGCTCGATAAAAGGAAAGATCGGCTGTGGGTAGTTCATTGTTTCGTTGTGTGTTAAAATTTAGGAATGATTTGTAAAGTGAAGCTTGAAAATTTTCATAGGTACCACCAAAAAAATCAGGTAAATTGTTGTTTTGATTGTTTCGATCCATTTCTTTTACTACTAAATTTTAAACTTTTTGATACTGATACATCTTGTACCCCATTTTATTTTCTGGAAAAATATATTGGCTAAAATTAATAATCCCTAAATTTTAAATTTTTAATCTCTTTTTTTTTAATTTTGCAAACATAAAATGGCATCTCTAATGTTTTCTAGTGCATTAAAACGTCAAATTAATAGTGGTTTAGCTAAAAAGGTATCAAATGAAACCAGTTTTTATTTTTCGAAACAATCTTGATTTTTTTTAATGAATGATTTGAAAAAAGTCAGTTTAAAATACCATTGCTTAGATTACAATTTTTTGTGTATTTATATAATATATATAATACATGTACGGAAATTTTTTTATTACAATTCTAAAAGAATTCTTTTTTGAAATGAATATATTTTTAAAAGTGATTAATTACACAAACATAACTATTGGATAAATTAACATATGTTTAGTTTGCCCGTCCTTTTGCTACAGAAATTTCTAGCATTAAACAACAATCAACACGAACCACTGTTCTTCCAAGTGGACTAACGATAGCCACTGAATCTATCCCATACACACAAACCGCTACTGTAGGTGTGTGGATTGATGCTGGCAGTAGAGCAGAAAGTTCTAAAAATAATGGTGCAGCACATTTTTTAGAACATATGGCATTCAAGGTATGATGGTTGATGATGTTGAATGCTTCTCGGAGGAATTTTATTGAATAAAAAATTTTTTAATGAAACTAAAAAATAAAAAAGGGAACAAATTTACGTAGTCAGAATCAACTTGAACTTTCCATTGAAAATATTGGCGCACACCTTAATGCGTATACATCAAGAGAACAAACTGTATATTATGCTAAAACATTTCAAAAGGATGCTCACGTTGCAGTAGAAATATTATCTGATATTTTACAAAATTCCACTTTGGATGAAGGTGCCATTGAACGAGAACGTGATGTTATTTTGAGAGAACAGGAAGAGGTTGACAAACAATTTGATGAAGTTGTATTTGATCACTTGCACGCTACTGCTTTCCAAGGTATAATTAATTATAATTATTGATTAGTTATAATTATTAAACAATGCAATTGATTTTAACATTTATATCTATTGTATATAGGTCACTCATTGGGACGTACAATTTTGGGACCGAAAGAAAACATACTCTTACTTAAGAAAGATGACCTCGCTAATTATATTAAAAATAATTATACAACTGATCGTATGGTTCTGGTGGGAACTGGTGGAATTGATCATGATGAATTGGTTAAATTGGCAGAAAAACATTTTTCATCACTTCCATCTTCACCAAGCCCTTTGCCTCTCGGTTCTGGTCATGGTGAAAAACCTTCATTTGTTGGTTCTGAAGTTAGAATAAGAAATGATGAATTATCACAAGCACATATAGCACTTGCAGTTGAAAGTGTTGGCTGGAATTCCCCGGATTATTACACTATGTTGGTAACACAAGCAATTATTGGAACTTGGGACAGATCGTTTGGTTCAGCTGCACACACATCATCTCGTCTTTCACATATTATTCACAAACATCAACTTGCCAATTCTTTCCAATCATTTAACACAAGTTATAGCGATACCGGTTTATTTGGCATTTATCTTATATCAGAAAACGTTAAACAATTGGATGATTTGATTCATTTTACTTGTAAGGAATTTTGGAGGTAATAACATATATATTAGATACATGTGATGTATGCAATCTTAAATAATTAATAATAACCATTATAAATATATAGGCTATACACTTCTATTACTGAAGTAGAAGTTGAACGTGCTAAACAACAACTTAAATCATCGTTACTTTTAAATCTTGATGGAACAACTGCTGTTGCTGAAGATATTGGTCGTCAAATGGTAACAACGGGTAAAAGATTAACACCAAAAGAACTTGAAACAATTATTTCTAAAATTACTGTGGATGATATTCGTCGTGTTGCTGGTGAATATTTATGGGACAAGGATGTTGCAGTAGTCGGACTTGGTCCAGGTTAGTTTGTTACGTAATTTTTTGTAAAAAAAATTATTATACTAGTATTTATATTAATATTTTGATTTTTGGTTTTAATTTATAATTAGTTGAATGTCTTCCAGATTACAATAGGGTGCGTAGTGCCATGTCTACCGAAAGATATTAATCTAAAATTTTTTTGTTTTTTATTTCATAGAGAATTACTTATTCATCATTGCTAGCAGTAATATTTAATAGTAATAATATTGTACAATTTTTTGATAATAAGATTATTTTTAATAAACAAACAAAGATATATATATATGTGATGATATATCAATATTGTTTTTATAATTTCCTCTGATCATTATTGCAGAATTAACAAAATTGGATTTTTCTATAAAGAATACAAAATAAGGACTGCGCCAACAAATCAGGTCCAGGTTCAAAATTTAGTACCACATCTAATCATTACATTTATATATTAATATATGCATAGCGATCATAATAATCTAGGGGTGCATAATATCGATGCCCACGGCTTTAAAATGTAATAATAATAATAAATTTACATATTCAAAAAGAGTTAATTAATCAATTAAATATTTCTTCCATACTTACAAAACTTGTGCAAATCTATATTCCTTAACAAATAATGCTCCTCTATTTGGTGGTGGTGGTGGTTTTGATAAAACATTATCCTGCTTATTATCAATAATGAAAGGATTTTGTAATAATTCCTTTATAATAGGTGAACCAATCAATCACTTCAACATTGGCTCAACTGTGTCATTTTGAGGCTTTTGGTTGTTTTGACGAAGACTAGAAGAAAGTAAAAATAATTTAATCCTAAAAAAGTATATTATAGAAGGTAAATAAACCCATTTTCTCTTTTTCATATTAAAAATTAGATAGTTAACTCTTCGTTTGTTGGAGTTAAAATGGAATGTTTATGATCAGGTGTAATCTTAACTTTTGAATTCATATTTTTCCAATATTTATATTATAGTAGAATATTAATATATAATCATTTTACACTTCAATGTAAAAATCCAACATATTAATATGACGGAAATCTAAAATTTCAATTTCGTGTAACCCGGTTTTCACTTCAAAAAAGGGAACCTTGTTTCACTAAATTCGACGCGTATTATTATTATCATAAAAATTCTTACTGATTGAATAAACGGGGGTGGGTTTTTTTAATTGAAAAAATGTCCAAAATTTCTCAACGGAAACAGTGATATTAAAAAAATTTTGATATGTGAAGTGATAAATAACTGAATCAACAATTAATTTACCATTGTCCGTCCATCAATCATTTTATAATCTATAAAAAATATGTTTTATATGAAGTTTTGATTTAACTGGCTGTAATATGAACAATCGAATATAAACTACTTTTTTTTCGCACACAATTTAAATATAGCAAGAGAAACCAATTAATTGAAGATGCAAAAGGAAAATTAATCTTTTATTTATATTTTAATTAATATATATATATATGCATTATAATAATAAAAATACTAAATTTTTTTTTACACATGAGTAATTTTTTTATAATAAGTAATAATAATAATAATAAAAATACTAATTTTTTTATAATAAGTAATAATAATAATAAAAATACTAATTTTTATAATAAGTAATAATAATAATAAAAATACTATTTTTTTTTATGCAAGTAATTTTTTTATAAGTAATAATAATAAAAATACCAATTTTTTTTACACACGAGTAAATTTTTCATAATAAGATTTAACAGATCTCCATTCACTCTGATAGACTTCTTGTGATTTTTGAAATCGATTATTAGTTCGAGGTCTTTTTTCTTGATGTTCATTACCATTATTAATTTCTTCACGTTTTCTTTTGGATCCAATAGATCTATGTTCATTCTGGCATGTTTCTTGTGATTTTTGAAGTTGATTATTAGTTTGAGGTCTTTTTTCTTGA